TCAAAGTGGGATGAAACAGGTGGTAGCTAAAATGAAAAGCAAGCACATGGCAGGAACATTCACAAAGAAAAAGAAGTGTAAGAAAAGCACCAGACATTAGCATGTATTTACCTTGTTCATCTGGCCCTGTCCACTGAATCGAGCCTTGGTATGTCTGCAGGTGTAGTCTCTGGAGTCTATAGAGACATCCCAGCATGGCCCAGAGGAGAGTGGCAGGATAGCAACGAACAGAGGGCCTACTTTGGGATAAAAACAGCAGACAGGGTGATTGAATTTGAATGCAGAAACAAAGGTGACAAACAGATGTGGATTGAGGGGATCCAGCATATGTTGCATTGCCGTGCAAACATGACATGATTTTGAGCGAGCTTATATTTCAATTGGCAGAAAACTAGATTTACATTTTCCCCAAGCAGCTGTCATGATATGTACATCAAACTCCATCTGCTATGATTGCGTACATATTGTATTGCAGCTACACAAAGGAAATATACATTATCTCTCACTGGGCACTTTTGGCAGAATTGATCTAACAACAGCGAAGATTCTACTGGGCATAATTATGGACCTTTCCATAGATTCAAACAAGAGATGTGGCTGCTATAATGACAATAATGCCCTGTCACTCTAGTTCCTTCTGAAAATCAGTATTATCGACAAAGACCTGCATAAGAGAACAAAAAGGAAAAAGAATAAAAATGTCAAACCATGTTAATTTGAAATTGCAACCTTACAAAACAAAGCATCAATCTTACACTCATTGCTTACAGAAAAGATGGCACAGTGCAAATTTTGCATAGAATCGAGGGTGCTACTCATTCAGAACTTATAATCTGGGAGCTTACATTGAGGCTGGAAATCTACCCCGTGGTAGCTAACTGGCATTGCATGATCATCTCAATTTGAAGTTTACGGAGAACATATTTGGCAAGATAAGTTGATTTTTCCTAAATTAAAAAATTGCATTGTGCAGCCATTAAGAAAGTCTGCACCAGGTCAAAAACAAATACGAAAAAGCTTGTAGACATAAGAATGATCAGTTATGATTTAACTGTTCAAAACTATGATTAAACTGCTTGAGTTCAATAATTAAGATGGAGAACAACTCAATGAATACAATTACCGTCAGCCAGAATCAAAGTACACAATACACCTCCATCCAACCCACACCCACACACAGCCGACGGCCCCCATCCTCCCAAAAGTGAAAAAAAAAATTTGTTTGCCCAAAAAAAATGGCACATGGAGATGAATGACCACAGGTAGATTTGAAAGTACCTTATACCTTATACAACTTCCACATTTTCAAAAGTTCTCACCAACCAATTTTGAAAGCAGAGCCTAAAAACAGAGAAGAGTGTGGCGCAAGGGCATCATATTTTTCCCGTCATACCTTTGGGTCCAGAGAATGGATGGATATAGGCGTAGAGTACACATAAGTCAATGGGATACAGACCATAAATAGAAGGCGTGATGAGGAAGATAATTATAAATGGACAGTTGGAAACCCAAAAATGTGTCGAGGTGAGCCTGGTGACAACACCCAACATTCCAGGTCCAAAAATTTGTTGAAATTAAATTTAGACATATGAATGAAGGATATGGTTATACATAGAGCTGACAGTGCAACCCAAACCAAGTAGTTGGTAAGATGGTTTTTATCAGGATGAATTGAACATTCAATTATGATTGGTACCCAATAAACACAATATGTGCATATATTTTTAGAAAGTTTGGTGACCATGAGATTACTTGCAACTGAGACCTTTCAAATGAAAACCAAGTTGAGAAATCCTATGCAAAAAGTTGCAGGACTAAAATCACATATCTCTACATTCTTACTAGTAACTAACAACTTACTAAATCCGTCCAGAATTTTTTTTAAAACAGACTAATATAAGCTACTAATATCAAATTCATTCTTGCAATCTCTAACGGACATGTGAGAAGCAAACATAACTCATAAACCTTCACAGTAGCAAGAGCTAGGAACAATGTGCTGGAGAAAGCTGGTAAATTACCCTCTTATACAANCAAACACACCAAAACACATACAAACTAATACATTAAAAATATACACACTAATACACCAAAAATACACACACAAAAATTAAAACATATTTAATAAACAAAAAAAAAGAAAAGATACACACATAATGTCGTGGGTCGACCAGTGAGTTGTGGGTCGATATGTGGGTCATGAATCAACCCGCAGGTCATGGCAACCCATGGGTTATGGGTCGATCTGTGGGTCATGGGTGGTGTATTAGTGTGTGTGTTTTTTGTGTACTAGTGTGTGTATATTTTAGTGTATTAGTGTATGTGTTTGTATTTTTTGGTGTAATAATATATGTATTTTTGGGTATATTAGTATATTTATTTATTTTTATTACTTATGTTATTTATTAAAAAGATAAATACTCAACCCAATGAGTACCCATTTATAATCCATATTAACCCACTTAATTTTAATTAATATAGGNAAAAATTATATACTTAGGGGTGAGCTAAGGTTGATTGTCCAATCCGTCTAACCCGCCCGAGTTGCACCCTTATTCCTAAGAGTTATAAATACATCTCAATGTGGTAGATATTTGATGGTCAAAATTCGGCTACAATTAATGAGCTAATACCTTACAAATCTATTCAAGTTTTTAAAATGTATAGATAGATATTTAGTAGGGGTGACAAATGGATGGGTTGGATTGGTTATGATTAGGGTTAAATTGGATTGAGATAAAATAAATGAAATCTATTTTTCACTTACCTAATAAATGAGTTATAATGAGTTGAGTTTATAACAGGTTGGGTTAAACCGATTAACTCATACAATAATAAAAATTCTTAATAGATACATTAGTACACCAAAACACACACACACATACATTAGTGGTACACTAAAATACAAATATACACAAACACACCAAAACACATACAAACTAATACATTAAAAATATACACACTAATACACCAAAAATACACACACAAAAATTAAAACATATTTAATAAACAAAAAAAAAGAAAAGATACACACATAATGTCGTGGGTCGACCAGTGAGTTGTGGGTCGATATGTGGGTCATGAATCAACCCGCAGGTCATGGCAACCCATGGGTTATGGGTCGATCTGTGGGTCATGGGTGGTGTATTAGTGTGTGTGTTTTTTGTGTACTAGTGTGTGTATATTTTAGTGTATTAGTGTATGTGTTTGTATTTTTTGGTGTAATAATATATGTATTTTTGGGTATATTAGTATATTTATTTATTTTTATTACTTATGTTATTTATTAAAAAGATAAATACTCAACCCAATGAGTACCCATTTATAATCCATATTAACCCACTTAATTTTAATTAATATAGGTACCCAACCCATTTAAAACCTGTATTAATTAATATAGGTATCCAACCTATTTATTTATGGACGAGTTGGACAAATTAATGGGTAATAAGTTAATATTGCCACCTCTAATATTGAGTATGGTGAGGTGATAGTGGTGTGATTGGCTAGTTTCTTTTGGACGGTTGGAGCTTTGGATGTTCTAAACAAACTAAATTTGTATAATTTTTTAGGCTTGTAGGTTCAACTTAATCTCGTAAAACTTAACTCGTTTATGTGTAAAATAGTTGAGCTACTCGGACTTAGCTCAAATTCTAAACAAGTCGAACTTCAATAATTTTTTAGATTTGTTTAAAAAAACAAGCGCTCTAAACACAAGCAAGTCCCCCTGTGAGTCCTGTTCCACCACCGTGAGATAAGTCTAGCACAGTGGACGGTTGACTTTAGGACGGCTGAACTTTCGGGGCTGTCGCAGTGGCGGTGTTGGTAGTGGTAGTGAATTTGCTGGCAACGGTAATATTTTCCGTTCAATGGTACAACACTGTTCTCAACTTGTGTCTGCCTAGAAACATTACTGTTTTCCACCATTTGTGTTTGCATCGAAATAGCCACAGCCTCCAAAGGTCTTGAGGGGACGAGGTACGACGTTATAGCCTCGTATTTCGTTATTCGAAAACTGGGAAGTGGGATGTGGGTCCTTGGAAGATTAGTGCGGCATTTCTATCTCTTTCGCATGATTACAGTTCAAGCAACGATGAAGAGTAAACAAAAAGACACAGATACCATTTGCTTTGGATGAGTGCCTTGAACTTGATTACCACGAGGTTAGCAGTCCCGACTCCTCGTCCTCCACCCTATAATAATATTTGAATAAAAAAAAAATTAATTATCACAATAAACATCCGTAGATTAAAATTTCATTCTAATCGCTGTTGAAGTAGACAACTACGAACACATTATAAACTCAACACAAAATTAGATCATAGGGCTCAATGCAAAGTTAAAAATAAAACGATATGCTATGACAAAGTAATGATTAAAACAGATTAATATCAATCACGAGTAACTAAATTTTGACACAATCAACACATTAATTGTGTTTTATCATTTTTTTTACCATCTTGATCTATGTATTATTTAAATCGTTATAAATTAAAGAATTTCTTATTTTAGATTTGTGAAAATCAAAATCGAGTAAATTTTAATCTAAGAAAAGTTTAAGTAATTGATTTAATTGAGAAATGTAAACTTCTAGATTGTAGGTTATGCATAATGACAACCTAAACACGACACTATAAATAAATAGATCAGATTAGTATCTAATCACCCAATGTTAATTAAACATATTGGATTAAGAATGACTTTTAAATCTTGAAGTCACATTTGCAAACTCCTTTTTTTTGTTTTATTCTTTTGGAATGTATTGGTTAGTAGGAAGAGTCAAAAGAGTCTCAACCAAGTCATGAAATACAGTCTATGGCAAGGTTTAATTACAAACCAGAGGGTTTATATTGTATGCGTGAGGCTCCCATTTCTTCCTTTTAGGCAGTAGCAGTGGTGACATTAGAGGCCCCAGTCATGATGAAGCCCGCCGCTCAAAAAATTGCTCTTTAGCTCCTGTTGAATAAAGCACAAAAAGATTGGAAGAACAAGAGGAAAACATGGAAGGTGGAGACAAAGTTTATTACACTTTAATTGGGACCTTTCATGTAGCAATATGGAATTCATAACCCCACTTACCATTTTTTTTTTAAAAAAAAAATTGGAGAATTGTCTCGATCACATGTTTTGAACCCTTCGGGCTATACTTTAGATTTTAAATGTATGCAATCACCGATAAATCACGTGTGTTGGGTAATTCTGTGTAGTGTTTCATATAGTCACTAGACTCAAAATTTGGATGTGCCAGTTTACACCTCACCTGTCGCTCGATCACGGAAGCAAACCCATGCGGTTTAATATTCCTTTATGTTTTAGTCACTAAAGAAAACTTGGAACCCAGTGCAGAATCCATGTTATATATCACATCCTTTCTCCTGTTTATCGTCACCTATCTTCCTCCTGTTTGCTCCACTTTGCATGAGAAGTTGCAGTCATGTTCAACTCCAGCTATATAATTAACTGAGTGAAATTCTGAAATCAATAATACCACAAGTAAGTTTTATGATAATGAGCTTCCGTACCCTGAAATGAAAAGAAATTAGTCAGTTTTTTTCACCTTGTATGCTTATTACAGTGTCCGCGAGCTTGCCTGGTTCCAAATACACACCAAATAGGCTGGAAAACATTGAGGAAGACAGTCCGTTAGGTTGCCTACAAGTGACTTGCCCTACACCAGAAACGCCTACTGAATCCATGGAGTTTCTTGCTAGATCATGGAGTCTCCCGGCTGTGGAACTTTCAAAAGCTCTTTCCCACACACAGATTGCTGGTAACCATGTTGAGAAGTCCCCTCTATGTTCAGTTGGTGCTGATCAAACCCAACTTAGAAGCTCTGCGGTTTCAAAGGAATTTGTAAGATCCCTTCTCTGACCTTTACTCCTGCAGTTAAAACAAGGGTTTTTTTAAAACCGAGCCACTAATGATCATTCTTCCAGAAAAAAGGATCTTATAATTTATCTACTTACCCAAGTCCCAGTTTTATTGTTCACATAATTTTCATGTATTACAGCAACCTAAAGAATTACCAAAAGCTGAAAGCCCTCCAATTTCTCCAAGTGGAAGTGATGATACAAAGGTATTTCAAAGTTTTTGTGTGTGTTCGGTGTGCGAATGTGCACAAGTGAGCACTGTGCACCAAATAGTTGATATTTGCGTGCTTAATCTCTGTAGTAGTAGTGACTCTGGGGGAAGTAATAAAAGAATGCTTGTAATGAAACATTTCCTTTTATTGTTACATGTATCGCAAAACTCAAGTAATTGTGAGACATGGTCATGACATTTAATCATTAGAGCATGCCTAGTTGGGACACTCGAGGCTAACAAATAATGAGCAACTGATTAGAAAACACCCATGTTTAAAAAACACGACAAAAAACAAGTCCTGATTGGTAAACCATTAACTGAATGCTTCATCCTACTAAAAATCCCTCTAACAAGTCTCACATGTGCAGGAACTCTTTTTACTCCATCAAGCCCTCAACCCAGAATTCCTATCTAATCAACAGTTGCTAAAAAATGGGGTATCTATTTTTCCAACCTGATTATTATTGTCATCGCCACCATCCTATTCATTGTTCTCGTTTTACAGCTCTACAGGAGCATCATGAGGGGAAATACAGTGAGTAGATTCCTGAAAGATCAAAAAGAAAGGAAGAAGCAGGAGCTAAGAACCCAGAGTGCCCAATTGCATGCAGCTGTATCTGTGGCAGGAGTTGCTGCTGCTGTCGCTGCTCTTGCGGCCTCATTAGCAACTGGACCTGAAAAGGCAACTTTCCAAAATAAGGCACCTTCAAAAACTTCTGCTGCAATGGCATCTGCAGCTGCTCTGGTAGCTTCGCATTGCGTTGAGATTGCAGAGGACATGGGAGCTGATCATGAGCAAATCCTATCAGTTGTTGGTTCTGCAATTAACGCGAGGACAAATGGCGATATCATGACCCTTACTGCTGGAGCAGCCACAGGTATCTGTCTGCTCTCAAGATGCAAAGTGGTCTACTTCTCAAAACTAACCACATCAATAGTTCAACAGGTTTACTGTTCTTTGTTTATGTTTGGGTACTACAAAAACTGCATCTTGGTGAAGATCCAAATGTCATGATTCAACTGATCTAAATACAACCTAGTTTCGAATGATTGACCTCAAATAATCCAGTAGGATCAAGTTACTTGCGTGCAAAGTGAATGTGTTTCTTAAGTCCAGTTTGATATCCTCATATCTGGATACATTTTTCAGAGATAAAACCATTAAATCAGCTTATACATAATTTCACAAAGCAAGGCGACTTAAAACAGTTCTCAACTTTATCAAATCATTAATGCAGCCTTGAGAGGGGCTGCCACGTTAAGGGCAAGGTTGCAGAAGGGGTACGGAGCTTCCACCATTGCTCTGGCTGAGCAGCAGACTGAAGAAGGTAAAGAATTGAATGTCTTGACAGCATTGAATTTTGTCTCCAAAGGTGGAGAAATTCTTAAACGCACAAGAAAAGGTAATTTTAGATAATTTTGTTTGTGGAACTGCATCTAACAACATTGTAAGAAGTATTACCCATGGTTTTATTTTCGCATAAATGTTGATGCAGGAGATCTCCACTGGAAGCAAGTCTCTTTCAACATAAATTCAAATTGCCAGGTAAAAGGCATAAACACACTAGACAAATCAATAATTAGACAAAACAGACGTGGAATAAAATTAATATATTTCAAAATTGCTTTGGAAGTTTCAACAATCTGCACACAGTTGAAACATTTTCATTCCAGTTAAAATTCATTTCATCCATTGGTAGTTCTGTAACAGAATCACAAAAAAAAAATGATTTTTTGGCCAACCCATGTGCATATTGACTTGTTCTACTGTCCTAAAATTTCTGAATCTGTACTCAAAGTGGGATGAAACAGGTGGTAGCTAAAATGAAAAGCAAGCACATGGCAGGAACATTCACAAAGAAAAAGAAGTGTAAGAAAAGCACCAGACATTAGCATGTAATTACCTTGTTCATCTGGCCCTGTCCACTGAATCGAGCCTTGGTATGTCTGCAGGTGTAGTCTCTGGAGTCTATAGAGACATCCCAGCATGGCCCAGAGGAGAGTGGCAGGATAGCAACGAACAGAGGGCCTACTTTGGGATAAAAACAGCAGACAGGGTGATTGAATTTGAATGCAGAAACAAAGGTGACAAACAGATGTGGATTGAGGGGATCCAGCATATGTTGCATTGCCGTGCAAACATGACATGATTTTGAGCGAGCTTATATTTCAATTGGCAGAAAACTAGATTTACATTTTCCCCAAGCAGCTGTCATGATATGTACATCAAACTCCATCTGCTATGATTGCGTACATATTGTATTGCAGCTACACAAAGGAAATATACATTATCTCTCACTGGGCACTTTTGGCAGAATTGATCTAACAACAGCGAAGATTCTACTGGGCATAATTATGGACCTTTCCATAGATTCAAACAAGAGATGTGGCTGCTATAATGACAATAATGCCCTGTCACTCTAGTTCCTTCTGAAAATCAGTATTATCGACAAAGACCTGCATAAGAGAACAAAAAGGAAAAAGAATAAAAATGTCAAACCATGTTAATTTGAAATTGCAACCTTACAAAACAAAGCATCAATCTTACACTCATTGCTTACAGAAAAGATGGCACAGTGCAAATTTTGCATAGAATCGAGGGTGCTACTCATTCAGAACTTATAATCTGGGAGCTTACATTGAGGCTGGAAATCTACCCCGTGGTAGCTAACTGGCATTGCATGATCATCACAATTTGAAGTTTACGGAGAACATATTTGGCAAGATAAGTTGATTTTTCCTAAATTAAAAAATTGCATTGTGCAGCCATTAAGAAAGTCTGCACCAGGTCAAAAACAAATACGAAAAAGCTTGTAGACATAAGAATGATCAGTTATGATTTAACTGTTCAAAACTATGATTAAACTGCTTGAGTTCAATAATTAAGATGGAGAACAACTCAATGAATACAATTACCGTCAGCCAGAATCAAAGTACACAATACACCTCCATCCAACCCACACCCACACACAACCGACGGCCCCCATCCTCCCAAAAGTGAAAAAAAAAATTTGTTTGCCCAAAAAAAATGGCACATGGAGATGAATGACCACAGGTAGATTTGAAAGTACCTTATACCTTATACAACTTCCACATTTTCAAAAGTTCTCACCAACCAATTTTGAAAGCAGAGCCTAAAAACAGAGAAGAGTGTGGCGCAAGGGCATCATATTTTTCCCGTCATACCTTTGGGTCCAGAGAATGGATGGATATAGGCGTAGAGTACACATAAGTCAATGGGATACAGACCATAAATAGAAGGCGTGATGAGGAAGATAATTATAAATGGACAGTTGGAAACCCAAAAATGTGTCGAGGTGAGCCTGGTGACAACACCCAACATTCCAGGTCCAAAAATTTGTTGAAATTAAATTTAGACATATGAATGAAGGATATGGTTATACATAGAGCTGACAGTGCAACCCAAACCAAGTAGTTGGTAAGATGGTTTTTATCAGGATGAATTGAACATTCAATTATGATTGGTACCCAATAAACACAATATGTGCATATATTTTTAGAAAGTTTGGTGACCATGAGATTACTTGCAACTGAGACCTTTCAAATGAAAACCAAGTTGAGAAATCCTATGCAAAAAGTTGCAGGACTAAAATCACATATCTCTACATTCTTACTAGTAACTAACAACTTACTAAATCCGTCCAGAATTTTTTTTAAAACAGACTAATATAAGCTACTAATATCAAATTCATTCTTGCAATCTCTAACGGACATGTGAGAAGCAAACATAACTCATAAACCTTCACAGTAGCAAGAGCTAGGAACAATGTGCTGGAGAAAGCTGGTAAATTACCCTCTTATACAACGATTATGCGGTTCAAAGACATACCGATTTCCAACCATCAGGATCCAAGCAGGCTGTAATCTTGGTGTTGATAACAGGCAATGGCCCAGGTTCACGGGTAATAGTCCCTCCACTCCGTTTGACTATTTCTGCAGCTTTATAGACATCATCTGTACCTATCGCAATCTGGTAAAAGATGAACACCAAGTCTCCATTAAATGATAAACATAGATTAATTGTACTTGAAGTGTTGTACAGCACTTGATGACCATACTGTCATTTTGAACAAAAATATTGCTATTCTACTTGAACTCTCAGTGACTTATGTTCTAACATAAGGTAGAGCATTCACCTGGGCATAACCATTTCCTTTGTCATATTCTTTGACCCCATAGTTATATGTCAATTCCAGAACTGCATTTTTGTCTTCAGGACCATAGCCCATCATGGCTATTGTGTACTATATATAAGCACAGCTAAACATTAGTAGTGTCAAACATACTGAGACACAAAGTAATATTCACACAAAAAAAGTATAAACGGCACCCAAAATAACAAGATCAATACAGATAAATGAAAAGCATAAAAGAACAAGTCATCAGGTTTAAAAGATTTAAGGGCCCCACATACTTCAGCATATCCACCTACAAGTATGTGACATCCATTTACGCACAATTAGGATGGCATGAAAGCAAAGCCTAAGCTTTAGTTTTTGGAGGGTCATATTGAATTTGGCTTAATGCACTTTGGAAGCAACAAAAAAGAACCAGAGCACCAAGTATGCATGATACATGGTTTTGTGTGTGTGTGTGTGTATATATATATA